CCTTGAAGTGTAAACTTGTTTAATAAACCATATCTTTCATTTTCGATTTTTAATTCACGTAGTCCGGGAACTTTCCGGACAAACTGTGTATATGTGTACACACGCACATATATGTATAGACATATTTCCCGCATCCAGCAAACGGCTCTCAACGACTTATCATTCATTTATTAGTGAAACGCAAGTGTTGTAACGAATTTGAAGATCCATTTTTGACATTTTATTTACATATTTTCCTTATTTTTTTCTTATTCTCATAGCTTCTAAACTTCTGTGAACTTCTAAACAGTGGAATGGTAGACATTCAATAAAATCTCCTATTTGTTTTAGCGATAAACGTGGATTTTCATCTATAATTGTCTGTTATAATTCTTCAAACTTGTACGGAGGTATAAATTTCAATTTTTCGAAGTCACTATCGCTTTTTCTGAACCAATATTGGCAGAAATCTTTTGTTGAGGTAAATTCAGGATAAGGTGCACGAATGAGTCGATAAGCTTTACTGTTTTCTTTTGATCAATCAAAGAATTTCAATTATTTACGTCAGTAATGCCATCTCATTGTCACTTGTTAAAAAGAAGTGTACTACTTATTAGTTTTTCATAACACTAAAAAATGCATATTTACTACTACTTGTACAACGAGAAATATTGTCTCCACAATAGACACCTAACCGTAGAACTAAACAACGAATGTACTGATAGAAAATTGAAAAACAGATATAGGTACAAGATACGGATACAAGTTGAAAACAAGGCCTTGGCATATTTTTATAACTAATGTATCCGTATTATTATGATACGCGATCATGATACAATACGATGATACAACACAAGTCTGGACTTACCTTTACGCGCGTAAAACAGCCTGATGCATGTTTATTCGCGAATCTTTGTTAATTAAGATTTCAATAATTATTGCGAATCTCGCAAAATGATATAGGTCTTCTTGACTCAATTTTACTTTTTCTACCTGCCTACAAGAGATGTTACACCAATTGTCGGACACCGTGTAAATGTATATTCATACATACAAAACATAAGGGGAGTTTCTTTAGTGCCAAATGCTTAAGATTTTTCTTAAATAAAGGGAAAAATGTAATATTTTAGTTTTCTTGCGATATTTATACAATATTAGTTAACAATATTAGAAATCAAAATAAAGCAATAAAATAATCAATCATTACCATAATAGTTAACTCAAATTAATGTTAAACTTTATATATGATTTTGCGAGATCATTAAGTGGTACCTAGTATCGAACACTGTAAGAGTTATTAACGTAACTTAGAATAGTTTCAATATAATTTGCAGCAATCACATATATAATAGTTAGAAACTTCAAAGATGTCGGCACAAGCCTCATGTGCTCATTTTTGATAGCTTGAACACTGAATCTAGTTTTTTTCGTTGCGTTCTAAACAAACTACATACATTGTCTCTTGATTTGTCTCTTTGAAGTTTTCATCTTATTATTTATGTTGCTTAGATGTATATTTTATCACCGAAACGAAAATAATAAACTAATTTAAAGGAATACACACAAAATTGAGATTTGTACTGTCTAACAATAGAGAAAAACGTCCTGTCCGGCACAGCAAACTCATTAAACAAAATTGTTTTATATGACAACTAGTGCTATATACACAAAATACAAAAGTAATTAAAAAAATATTTATCAAAAGATATGATAACACTACTCACATGTCTTTTGGCTAAGAAAATTGATAGATACAATTTTTTATAATTTATCCGATGCACCGGCTTTCCGTCGCGACACTTAATCGATCTTCTTAGCTGTCTACATGCGACTGGAACGTATCGAAACCTGATTGTTGATTCTATCTCTTCTACGATTTATACAAAATAACGGTTCAGTAACAAATGTCACAGATATAGCTACTGTCTGGTATTGGTTGCCATCCGGCACTAGAGAAACATTCCCTACATAATATTTCATTATTTAAATACCTGTATTGATTCCGTTAAAAGTATGAATTACTAAGATAAGAAGATTGCTTGATTTGAGAATGCTCAGCCAGTACTTAACCCTTCTGTCAAAATATAAGTTTTCAACTTGCCTTCAGTGTATGGGTATCTGTATATCCACTTCATTTTCATTCAATTGCACTGCAACAAGTTTTTTAATAACTGCTAGATTTTCTTAAATATTATTTCTTATTCTATTATAGTCTATATACGAAGATTCTTTGTATCTATGTTTATATTTGTTTTCCGGAAAAATCTGATACGCTTAATCTGATCTATCTGATCTTATTTGACTTATACGCTAAGGATCTATTATTGTGAAGTTAGCAAATTTTAAGCAGACATGGTTTGAAAACTGCATAACTGTTTAACGATCAATAAATATTTTTGTGTTATTAAAAACTAAAAAAATATTTATCTACAAATTATTATTTAAAAAAATACAGCTTTATCACACACTCCTAAACATGACATTCATTAAGAGGGTACTGGATACCGACTATAGAGACCTGCAAACCGACGGTTTTAATATTTCGTTTTGAGCCGTATTTACTGCATCAAATTCAAAATGATTCTACAGCAATAAGTAAATTGTGCTAAGAGTTTGCTGTTGTTCATTAAAATGTCAAATTTCAGCAGAAATTTTTTCTTATACAGTTTCCTTCTGTAACCTCACCATATGATCATGTATATAAAATTGTTAGCAATTGCTAAACGTTGATTTCTGCTGAACGCAGTCATTCTTTACTTTTCGTTGTTCTTAGCCGCGTTCCGATATTCACTGCCAGTACTGAAAATCTATAACATATGTGACGTGAAGTAGATTTTTAGTACTGGCAGTGAATATCGAAACATGAGGCTTGTCTTGGACTGTACGTATAAATTTCAACCAATCAGCGACGACGAGACAAAGACAGAAATCCTAGTTGTGATGCTCTCTATCGCGGACAGCTTGCACAATGGCAAGGCGCGTTCCATATTATAGTTCAGTGCAGAGATCAAATGCAAGTCTCACGAAATTGACCAATTGCATCTATCAAATCACTCAATTGCAACACGATTGGTCACTTCCGCGAGATCTGTGACTGCATTTGGGTTTTGCACTATTATGGCTAGTCTATAATAAATGTAGTAAGGCTGTAGGAGTAGAAATTAAACTATTTTTTGGTGAAGAAACAACGGGAATTACGGGCAATTCCCATTTCGCACTACTTACTGCTTTACTGTTAGCCAATAAAAAACGTGTGTTAAAAACCGCGAAATAATTACTTGTATAGACAAAAATAAAAGAACTCCAAGAACCTTCTTACTCTATACTGCCTACTTCCATTGTAGACTAGCCATTATAGAACGACTTTAAAATAATTCGTTTTGCGGAGCACGTGTTTTTTTGCCAAAGTTTTCAATACAACACAAAACAAGTAAAACTTCTATAAGTTTTAGTGAAGAAATCACAAATATTTGTGTTGCATTTGTTCTGTAATATTACATTGTAGTGTAATAAATTACATTGCAATGTATTACATTTATATTGTGTTGTATTCAATTAATATATTGTGTTTTATTCAATTGTGGTATATTGTGATTATTTTTTGTTATGTGATTGTCGTTTAGACTATCATCTGTACTAACGTAATATTAATATAAAATAACGTCTAATGCATCCTTTGGACTGTAAATTTGCTTTGTTTTTTCTCCCAGAGACGTTTTCCGAAACGTGTGCTGGTGTAACAATTATTATGAACTACCAACGCATGCTGCTTATTTTTTAAATAATATTAATATAAAACAATGTTAAATGCATCATTTTGATTGTAAAGTTGCTTTGTCTTTTTTCCCAGAGGCGTTTATGAAAACGTGTGCTGGTGTAAAACTTATTATGAACTGCCAACGCATGCTGGCTATTTTTTAAATAATATTAATATAAAACAATGGCAGACGCGTCATTTTGACTGTACAGTTGCTTCGTCTTTCCTCCCAGAGGCGTTTATGAAAACGTGTGCTGGTGTAAAAATTATTATGACCTGCCGACGCATGTTAGCTATTTTTTAAATAATAGTAATATAAAATAATGTCAGATGCATCTTTTTGACCGTAAAATTGCTTTGTTTTATTTCCCAGAGGCGTTCTTGTAAACGTGTGCTAGAATATTAATTATTTCGAAGCAATTTTGGTTGACATGTGTTGGCTATATTTAAAAATTTAGAATGCCAGAGGCGTCTCATGTGATGTATACTTGCTTCGTTTTTTCTCCCAGAGGCGTTTTTGTAAACGTGTGCTGGTATAAAACTTATTATAATCTAATTTTAGTTGAAATGTGCTAGCTATATTTAAAATTTTTAATGCGTCTCTTGTGATATATAATTGCTTTGTCTTGTCTCTCAGAAGTGCTTTTGGAAACGTGTGTATTAATAAATATGAAGGTTTGATATGCAACATTTGCTGGCTATGTTTTAAATTGTGCTAGAGACATAAAGATTTTTCTCTTTTCTCTCAAGGGCATTTATATAAACGTATGCAAATGTACTTATAAATAAATTGTATTTACATTTATCGTGTATTGGCTATGTTCTACATTGTGCCAGAAGCATCTTTTGTAACATAAAGTTGCTTTAGCTTTTCTTTTGCTCAGAAGCGTTTTTCTAAACGTATTCTGATGGAAAAATTATTTTGAAGTATTTACAAGAAATATGTTCTAGCTATGTTCTAAATTTATTGTTCCTGAGACGTCTCGTGTAGCATAAAGCTTTACATTTCTCGAAGAGATGTAGTAGTGTAGTAGTGTATTAAATACTATAAACATTTACAATCAATGTATTCGGACTATGTTCAAAATTTCTTGTGTCAATCAATGTGTTAATACAATCAACGTGCTAATTATGGTTTTAATTTATCGTATCAGAGGTGTCTCTTGTAACATAAAGTTCTTTTTGTTATGTTGCTTTATCTTTTGTCTCAAAACTATTTTCATTAACGCGTGGTAGTATGTTAAAGAATGAACATTTACAATTAGCGTTTGCTACTGTTGACTACTTTTTAAATTTATATTGTAAAAGACACCTTTTATAACATAAAGTTGTCGAAACTAGTAAGTTGTAGGACTATAAAGAATTATGACAGATCTGTCGTTATTAAAAATGATAATTTTAACAGAATTGTTGAAAAAACATAAAGTAGCTTGATAGATGGCTCCTAATATATTTCTCGAATTTCATTCAGTTTGCAAATAATTAACACTTTGTTTACCGAATATCATAGGCGTGCACATACACTTTTGACAAATTTGTAATATAATATATATATATATATATATATATATATAAAAGAAAGAGAGAGAGAAAAAAATAGAGATGTACTTTGTATCTCTATGAGTGCAATAGACTAATCGCTATGTCTCGCGTTTATCCGAGGTTTTCTTGTAGATTTTGACGGTCGATTACTGTACAGCGTTTCGTGAGTACTTCAGTAATATGTAAAACTTTCTGTGCAATATAAAATGTTTAATGACATTCAGTTCATAATCTTCTTGTAGTCATATATGCAAATTGAATAAAAAATTATTATAATTTCTATATGTGTAGAAATTATTATAATTTCTACACATATATGCGCAATAATAAATGTACGCTTTTCTGTACATTTATTATTGCAATTACAGTGCCTTACTTTTCATAAAACATAAATACACAAATTAAAATTTTCTAACATTCTATTTTTTATTTATAAAATATACTTGCTTTATATACTTGTTACATGCACACGATATTCTGTATTAAGTGTTAGTCAAAGAAAATGACTTTTCCTAAATAAAAAAATAGAAAATGTTTAAAAAAATCTATTTTTAATACAATAAATATAATTTAAAGGTAAATAACGAGTAAAAGATCGGATGTTAATGGTGTAAAAGTGATACATATAGGGGAGACCGGTACACAATGAGACACTTCACAAATAATTGTTCATAGAAAGTTTATTTATGAAGGAAATCTTTTTTTTTTAATGGAACATACAAGTACACTACATGTTTACATTGTACGGACAAAATATTGATAAAAAAAACAAGTGTTTATAACTTATAAATGTTTTTATAAAGTAGTGCAAAATGTCTCATTGTGTACCACCCCGGTACACAATGAGACAACCCATGGTACACAATGAGACATCTCTTTAATCAATGAGCAACTTACAAAACGCTTACGTTTATTATTAAATATAATAGTGCAATATTTTTAG